TGCCAAGACATTTGTTGTTCAAAGTATTCAGCACACCGGTCAAGGCGTTCCTCCTTATTCGTTCCATTGTGATGTTTGATGTTTTCACTCACAGGCGGTTTCCGGGGACCGGTCGCATGGGTCAAGTGAAATAATCTTCAGGCATTACCGATTTTCTGGGCCTCTTCCACTTCTTTGGCTTTCTGTGTCCACCATATTTCACGATAGGCTCGAACGCTCACTTTCGCTCGACGTCTGATAACTCTTCGCTGGGGTGTTTTTCCGAGATTTAAGCAGTTCCAACGTTCGGTCTGATATCCAGTGCGTGGATGCGCCTGGTTGAGTCGTGCCACAGGAAGAATTCCCATTACTATGCAAAGAGGTGACAATCTCGCCCCAGAATGTGTTCACATCTGATGGTGGAGCATTTGGAAGAGATTCCAGATGATTCTGGTAGGTTTGTCTGACATCCGGATCTGTCAGTCTTTCAGGCCCGTGGTTCGAACCCGACCTCCGCCGCTCGACTTCCCCTGCCTAGGCTTGGGCAACCTGGCAATATCCCAGACGTCGTGCCTCCTTCTGCTGGCACAGCAGCTAAGGCACCGGAAGGATGCTACAGCTGAACGCATCGAATGTCTTTCTGGAAGAAATAACTTACTCACGATATATGAACTGACCACGCTCCCTAGATTGCGCCGGCTTGGTCAGTTGATTGACTTCCTCGAGTAGACCTTTTTGCACAACCAGGGGAAGGGTGGGGATGAGCCACGGAAGATTAAACAATTGCTTGGTAGTGAAGCGTGAAATCCTGTAAACTCCGTTGCTTTGATGGAGGGGGACCCAGAGACGGAACACTTCAATGGTTAGACAGATTGTCAGACATGACCCAGTCGCGCCCTCAGTGGCGTGTATGCATCCAAGCTGTTGTCTTCAGCTTCCCCTCCCTGTACCTCAGATGAAAAGCCTGTATTTACGCACCAATTATATCAGCTGCCGCATCCAATACATAGCTATCTACCCAACCTACTGAAATTATCGGTGAGCGAAACTGTAGCAGCTAGACGCACTATATGACAAGTACATGGTTTTTACCGCTGAAGATGAGGATGATTATCCTCATACTGAAGAGGAGAAAATGGATGGAATAGGAGAACAAAACAAAAAACGAAAATGAACTGAAGAATAATTGAGACGAGTTGCGGGATTTCTGTTAGATATCAATTTCGTTTTGTTTCTCATCCTTTACTTTCTGCTGTGATTTCTCTGATCTGCAGACTTACTTTGTATACTTACACAGATGAATGTAGGAAAAAACAAAGACGAGGAACAAAAAAAGCGGCCAAGAAGTCGTGCACAGGGAGCAGAACGCAGAAGAAAACTGCTGGCAAATCAAAGTTCAGCTGAGTACATCCCATCCTGCAACAGTCTGGGGGAAGACTTGTTTACTTAAAACATACTTAGCAAACTTCTGTGAATGCCATGAGATTTTTTATCATTTCAACTCTGACTCGAAAACCAATAAGTGGGACCCTAACCGATCACCAATGCGTCTGCGTCTACTTGCTGTGATTTTTCTCATTTCAGCTATATTTTGCTTACCACCATCAGGTATGGCGTTTCAAGCCACTCCTTTGGAATTGCATGATTTTTCACTCCATGGTGAGTTAAAAATTACATTATTCATCTGTTCACTTTCAGAATTCAATCCCGTTACGAACGATAGCAGTTATATTTCTGTACGAAATGGCAGTACCAATGAGGAGCCTGTGAAAAGTGAGCCGGCTGTGGACAATGGAGAGCACCTATCAGAATGCAGTAGTTTAGATGATTACACAGAGGTGGAATTGCCGTCAGATGTCCCAGATGGTCCTGAATTTGACGACTTAGCAGCTTACGTTGATGGCGTTGCTGCGCGGCTCAAAGCAGATCAGCAACAGTCCGCCCATCTGGCTTATGACGTCTCGGGTAAATCTCCACTGGCTTCAGAAAATCATTGTGGTTCTTGCAGTGCTCCTACTAGCGACGGTAGGTACTTAGTTCCAAACTAACGTTCCGTGCCTCTATATATTACGTCGAAAGCTTTTCTGTGACAGGTCGTAGTCATTCCTCTTGATCATGACACAAAGTCAGTGTATGCTCACGGGTCAAGTCGACAGCCGGGTTCACCTTTGGCGTTGCGGTATATCATTGTAGTTGAAACCAGTAAACACACCCGAGATACCTATATTTCGATAAATTGACAAGCCATACCAAGCATGAGACTTGCATAAAGCACTTCAAATCAACTTTGTAGACTAACGAATTCTGTTGGTAGGTCTACTTTGTGTCCTTTGTCCCTCGGGCCTTCAGAGCCGGATGGTTTATGGTTCATTTTCTTCACCCAAGAGGGAGGATATCCAGGAATTCGCCGAAACAGCATCCCCGGCTAATGCTGCCAGTCCTGACCAAACTGCTTTGCCTCGCTGTTGATCTTGTAGCTTTTACCCAAATGTTGAAATGGCGGTGAAGGTTATCCGCCATTGGCCTCGATTAATTTTGCGTGTGAATATCCTCTCAAGTGATCAATAGCTTAACTGACTTAATTTTCTTAATTCAATAGGACTTCACCCCGGTGACAGGATATATCGTCATACAGTAATGTACTTTCGCCCTAAAGCTTAAAGAGCTCATAATGCTTGTTTCTTGATTGTTTTTGTCATTTGTTTGACAGTTCCACGACTACATGGAATAGTTTTACGTGAACTCGAGGTAGTGCAGTGGGTAGTGCGCCAACTTACGGACCGGAAGGTCCGTGGTTCTAACTCTACCTCACCATCTCGACTTTTCTTGTCTAGGTTTGGGCAACTTGGCAGTGTCTCGGTCCTCGTGCCTCCTTCCGTTGGTATGGCAGCTAGACGCCGAAAGGATGCTACAGTTTAAGAGTTGTTGGTGGTGGTGTAGACGTCGAAGAGGAGAAACTTGCGAAAAAAACATCCTTCATCAATGACTTCTAGTATTTAGACCGTCTGAAAAGTTGTAAGTGTCCCGTAGGCTGTGTTCGACAACTGATTTTTGATAGGGGCGAGGTGTTTAAAATACTATGTACTGGTCACCATCATGGTAAAGTGAGTTGTACAGATAGAGATTCCGGCTTATGTTGGAATCTGCCTTGTGGTCCCTTGTTAAACCGCATATTCTTATCTACTTATTTGTTTGTTTTCCGCTATTCTAATTACGTAAACCCTCCAGGTGTCGAGGAATTTGCCAGTTTCTCCACTTTTGAACCTTCCGTCGTGGGGTCTGACGCCTGGGCAACCGTAACTGCCACTTTTGAGCAGGACCTGAACCGTCATGAATCTTTGCAATCCAAATGGCCAGATGGATCCTCAGTTGCGCCAGCAGTCTTTCCGGAGTCTAATGAAGGCAGTGACGGCGAGGAATTCGGGGATTTCGAATCCTCAGTTCCACATTCTGAGCCCTCGGACGTGGCAAACTTGGTTAGAGATGTGCAAATTGACCATCCTCCAATCGGAATCTTGGTAAGTCGCCCGTCTTATTGTCTGTCCCACTCTAGTTCGTTTTTTGCCAGTCCTATTAACTCCATTTTTATACGAAAGTTCATCAACGGATCTGTTCACGCTACTTCGCCCAGTCTACGTATGTCGAACTGAAGCATCTATTTGATTCTGATAAGTCGGACGTCCTGTTGTTCTCCTCCAAATACACAACCAAAATACGTTCGTTGTGGAGAACTAAAAGCATCCTGGCGGCTTGTAAAAGGTTTCTAAGAATAACTTTAGGATTTCCGGGTTTGATGACTGTTCTCACGCCCGCTATGTCCTTTGTGGCGAAGATTGGCTTCAAAGCACAGTTCAGATCAAAGACGGTCATTTCTGACAGATTGTGACGGAGCAGGGTCGCCTCGCATTTCATAGCAAGAGGCAGCACAGAGAAAAAACCCCATCAGATTAAACCAGAAGGAACGGAGTTCGCGAACAAACACGTTTAGATATATGGTTTACTTACCGCTCCGGGCAGTCACAAGTACTATCGATAGCGATACCACTGTTGAATACGGATGCTTCACAATCACACATTTAGTTTCTACACCGTTCAAGGAACAAACAAGGAAATGGAGTTGGCCTAACAAAGTCGTTTCGAGGTGCTTGTGCCTTCACCATTTAGAGAATCGTGAAAACCACTAAGAACTCTACTCCAACGCACGGTAGTTCCCTGACCCCATTCAGAGAAGACGCTGGTGTCGGCAGTGCCCAATCTTTCTAATTTACCCTATCCATCGGTTGATTCAACAGTACGGTTTTTACTAGCTTCCAGTGTTAGCCCATAACCCATCCAGTAATCAAGTTTAGATGATTACACAGAGGTGGAATTGCCGTCAGATGTCCCAGATGGTCCTGAATTTGACGACTTAGCAGCTTACGTTGATGGCGTTGCTGCGCGGCTCAAAGCAGATCAGCAACAGTCCACCCATCTGGCTTATGACATCTCGGGTAAATCTCCACTGGCTTCAGAAAATCATTGTGGTTCTTGCAGTGCTCCTACTAGCGACGGTAGGTACTTAGTTCCAAACTAACGTTCCGTGCCTCTATATATTACGTCGAAAGCTTTTCTGTGACAGGTCGTAGTCATTCCTCTTGATCATGACACAAAGTCAGTGTATGCTCACGGGTCAAGTCGACAGCCGGGTTCACCTTTGGCGTTGCGGTATATCATTGTAGTTGAAACCAGTAAACACACCCGAGATACCTATATTTCGATAAATTGACAAGCCATACCAAGCATGAGACTTGCATAAAGCACTTCAAATCAACTTTGTAGACTAACGAATTCTGTTGGTAGGTCTACTTTGTGTCCTTTGTCCCTCGGGCCTTCAGAGCCGGATGGTTTATGGTTCATTTTCTTCACCCAAGAGGGAGGATATCCAGGAATTCGCCGAAACAGCATCCCCGGCTAATGCTGCCAGTCCTGACCAAACTGCTTTGCCTCGCTGTTGATCTTGTAGCTTTTACCCAAATGTTGAAATGGCGGTGAAGGTTATCCGCCATTGGCCTCGATTAATTTTGCGTGTGAATATCCTCTCAAGTGATCAATAGCTTAACTGACTTAATTTTCTTAATTCAATAGGACTTCACCCCGGTGACAGGATATATCGTCATACAGTAATGTACTTTCGCCCTAAAGCTTAAAGAGCTCATAATGCTTGTTTCTTGATTGTTTTTGTCATTTGTTTGACAGTTCCACGACTACATGGAATAGTTTTACGTGAACTCGAGGTAGTGCAGTGGGTAGTGCGCCAACTTACGGACCGGAAGGTCCGTGGTTCTAACTCTACCTCACCATCTCGACTTTTCTTGTCTAGGTTTGGGCAACTTGGCAGTGTCTCGGTCCTCGTGCCTCCTTCCGTTGGTATGGCAGCTAGACGCCGAAAGGATGCTACAGTTTAAGAGTTGTTGGTGGTGTTCTTCACGTAGACGTCGAAGAGGAGAAACTTACGAAAAAAAAATCCTTCAATGACTTCTAGTATTTAGACCGTCTGAAAAGTTGTAAGTGTCTCGTAGGCTGTGTTCGACAACTGATTTTTGATAGGGGCGAGATGTTTAAAATACTATGTACTGGTCACCATCGTGGTAAAGTGAGTTGTACAGATAGAGATTCCGGGTTATGTTGGAATCTGCCGTGTGGTCCCTTGTTAAACCGCATTTTCTTATCTACTTATTTGTTTGTTTTCCGCTATTCTAATTACGTAAACCCTCCAGGTGTCGAGGAATTTGCCAGTTTCTCCACTTTTGAACCTTCCGTCGTGGGGTCTGACGCCTGGGCAACCGTAACTGCCACTTTTGAGCAGGACCTGAACCGTCATGAATCTTTGCAATCCAAATGGCCAGATGGATCCTCAGTTGCGCCAGCAGTCTTTCCGGAGTCTAATGAAGGCAGTGACGGCGAGGAATTCGGGGATTTCGAATCCTCAGTTCCACATTCTGAGCCCTCGGACGTGGCAAACTTGGTTAGAGATGTGCAAATTGACCATCCTCCAATCGGAATCTTGGTAAGTCGCCCGTCTTATTGTCTGTCCCACTCTAGTTCGTTTTTTGCCAGTCCTATTAACTCCATTTTTATACGAAAGTTCATCAACGGATCTGTTCACGCTACTTCGCCCAGTCTACGTATGTCGAACTGAATACAGCTGAACGCTTTCTTTCTTTTCTTTCGTATGTCGAACTGAGGCATCTATTTGATTCTGATAAGTCGGACATCCTGTTGTTCTCCTCCAAATACACAACCAAAATACGTTCGTTGTGGAGAACTAAAAGCATCCTGGCGGCTTGTAAAAGGTTTCTAAGAATAACTTTAGGATTTCCGGGTTTGATGACTGTTCTCACGCCCGCTATGTCCTTTGTGGCGAAGATTGGCTTCAAAGCACAGTTCAGATCAAAGACGGTCATTTCTGACAGATTGTGACGGAGCAGGGTCGCCTCGCATTTCATAGCAAGAGGCAGCACAGAGAAAAAACCCCATCAGATTAAACCAGAAGGAACGGAGTTCGCGAACAAACACGTTTAGATATATGGTTTACTTACCGCTCCGGGCAGTCACAAGTACTATCGATAGCGATACCACTGTTGAATACGGATGCTTCACAATCACACATTTAGTTTCTACACCGTTCAAGGAACAAACAAGGAAATGGAGTTGGCCTAACAAAGTCGTTTCGAGGTGCTTGTGCCTTCACCATTTAGAGAATCGTGAAAACCACTAAGAACTCTACTCCAACGCACGGTAGTTCCCTGACCCCATTCAGAGAAGACGCTGGTGTCGGCAGTGCCCAATCTTTCTAATTTACCCTATCCATCGGTTGATTCAACAGTACGGTTTTTAACTAGCTTCCAGTGTTAGCCCATAACCCATCCAGTAATCAGGTAACTGGAACTATTCTAGCTGCCCTGATTAAGACAGCCCGCCCCACCCGATTGTCCGTGTTTTATCTATTAACTTGTTAACAATGCGTCAAACGTTCTTGTAGCATCCTACTGACTCACTCTGTAGCATTAAGTAGGGGAAAATCTTGTCGAACCAGTTTCTGCTTTCCAATCTTTTCGTTCTATTGTTTCAACTGCCGCCCATTTCAAAGGATGGTCGTCGAAATTTTCGCCTTCCTTGTCTCACTTCTGTAGCCATTCTTTCCATTTACTCCTCAGGAACGATTGCTTTCCCACTTGGAGCCTGCCCTCGGGCGAGCATTTTCATCCCCCACTGGAAATGACTGGGTGAACGATGAGAAAGGCGTGTCCGAAATCACGGATCTGGACACTGGAAGTTCTCTGGCTGTGATACACTCTCCTTGTAAAGTAAACAGACCCTCGTAAGTATATGATGTCCCATCATCGATCAATGGTTGTCTTGGTTCGGTTTTCAAGGTGCAGTGGCCCCTCTTTAGAGAAAAATCCTCGAATGAGATGACGACTTCCCTTAGTCCCAATTTTTCGCAGCCGACTCCTCTCATTTAAGCAAATCTTACGTACTGCGGATAATTTTATTCACTCAAACCTTCCGTATATGAACAATATAGTCTGAGCTGACCATAACAACGTTCTTTTTCAACTGGTTGGATAGCCAGGATAACAACTCCAGGGACTATGATGGGGTTTCTCCTCACAATGTTTGCTAGATGAAAAGGTCCTTGATGGCTAAATATTAGTATCCGGAACTCCATTGTGAACTCTTCTCTTGATAACACATGATTTTTCCGTGGTGACGAGCTTAGCGAAACCCAGGGCAATTATATTAAACTTTGATTTCACCTTGCTCAGAGGATATTGCTGAGTAAACAAGTGTAGTTTCAGATTTGTATTCGTAAGTAATTTAGTCGTTCAGCTGTGACACCCTTTCGGTGCATAGCTGCTGTGCCATCAGACGGAAGCACGAGAACCCAAATACTTTCAAGTTGCCCAAACCTAGAAAAGATGAGTCGAAATGCGGAGGTCGGGTCATCCAAACAGAGAATACATCTGGCAATTTGTTGAAATATTGGTAGCTCGGGTGAGTTTATTGGTTGTTGACCAGGTGGCTGTTGATCTGTTCGCCGAGCTTGGCAGTTGGCTTGCAAACCTTTCGTCACCATACGAGAAGACATCATCAGTGCGCAGTTGGGTGCGCGCTTCAGGGCCTCGCAGACATTGAGCACTTAGATGATGTTCTCCTTGGTTTAGATCCCTCAAATGCAAGGATTTTCGAATAATTTAAATGATTCTGTTGCCCGGTTCGGTATGCGTTTCATGCCTGCAAAGTGTAATTGGTTGCTACAAGCCTGTGTGGAGTCAAATCAAATCAATCCAGCCACTCAACGTGTTTGATAAATTTATCTGGTTTGGCTGGGTACGAGTTTATTGCTCGAATCTGGAAGGCCAGAGAAGCTTTTACCAACCTCAGACACCGGTGGCGCCGACGTGCGATGAATAAGCTACTAATGCTCCATAGGTTACTCTGGTTGGGACATCCAGTTCGCGTGCCAGATGACCGACTTTCCTCGTGGAACTCTTTTGCCCATTCCACTTTTGAGCGAAACGACAGAAATGCGGACAGTCATTGACCTGACGACAAATAATGAAGGTACTCGGTAATAGACTCAATTGCGTTGATAAGTACCTCGTCGCTGAATGTGACTCGGTATTCGAATTATCAATCGTAAATGACACTGTCCGACATGGCTCAATCACGCAGTCAGTGTTAGTCCTGCATCATAGTTATGGTCTTCAATATCTACCTGCCCAGTTTTCTTTTCAGACAGTTAGTGATTCAGCATCAACTAAATGATTACGCCATTACCAATAGTACCTGTCCATATCTTTCAACCCATTTTTCGGTTGTCGAATCTGTAGCAGTCGGAACCCGTGTACCTTTGCTTATGGGTGATCAACTGAACTGAACTGAACAGGAAGCGCAAACTTTTGGCAGCAGCCGGAACCACTCAGTACATGTGACTGATCTCATTCAATGAGTTTTCGCTGGTTATATAGTTTAAACAAGGTCGAGAAAGTTCAGAAATGACTGAAAATAAAACAAACAGTCTGAATATTGGTCGTAGAAGCGTCCCACGCTTGTCTCTGGTTAGCAGCACCAAGCAAACTCTTTGGGACTTTTCGCCACGTGAAAGAATGGTTTTCTTTTACCACTCTTTCTCCGAAGAGAGGTAATCACTCCTGAACTAGTTGCCTTCTGGTTGATTCGAATGAACGTAATTTTGATTTTATAGATAGGCTGACACATGTAGTGTGTTGATGCAAGATTGCTCAGTGGTTGGAGCGCGAATTTAATTGACCGAAGGGTCCGTGTTTCGAACCCGACCTCTGCCTCTCTACTTCCCCTGTCCAAGCTTGGGCAACCTGGCAGTATACCAACCCTCGTGCTTCCTTCGGATGGCATGGCAGCCATGCACCGAAAGAGCGCTACAGCTGAACGATTCCTTCTGGTGGCATAACAGTTGAGCACTGAAAGGGTGCTACAGCTGGACGATTTTTTTACATGCAGTACGTTCACCTACCAGTAGTATGGTCCTGTAAACGTCATTCAGAGTTAACTTCACTATTATTCAGCTGTCTTATCATATTTGATTTACTGTGCCTTGTTATCGATAATACTGCGGAGTTGGTGAATAAGTTTTTTAGTACTCCTACACAGTGAAGCATCGGTGTTGAACACCGATGTCATGCTGTCGATGATGATGATGACTCCTACACACATCTAAACCTGGCACTGAAGTTACTTCCAGTTAGAACAAGCTTTAGATATGAGTAGGAAGTATTCTGATTGCTCTGGTGAGAAGCTCGACTATGCGTATTCCGTCTCCTCATAACCTTCGGGATTCTTTCTTTTCAACCAGTTTGTTTAGTGTCTTACAAGTTTCTGGACTGATCTGTCTTCCGCTTTCTTTTCACGCCTAATTGAGCCATGTTTTCCTCGTGGCTGTATTGACAAAAGCATCCTTCACGTCTTTGTTTATGAAACGATGGCTCACTTGTTAGGGCGCGAACTTACTGACGGGAAGGTTCTTGGTTCAAACTGGACCACTGCTTCTAGACTGCTTCTGTCGAGGCTTGGGCAATCTGGCGGTGTCTCGGCCCTCGTGCTTCCTTTGGATAGCATGGCAGCTACGCCCCAAAAGGGTGCTACAACCGAACTATTATTCGTATCACTGTATTATTATGGTGAAACGATATGTGTAAAACGTTTACAGATGGGATGCCAATTTGGAGATGCCTATGCACAGACTTACGGCAGTGAAGCATCAGTGTTGAACACTGATGTCATGCTGTTGATGATGATGATGCGCAGACTCTGGTCTTGGTCGTTGGACTGATAACCCACAGTTTCGTCTACTGGTCCATCCAATCAGGCGTTGCTCTTATGGAACGGTTAGCCGTCGATAACAATGAGCGTACCTGCCTTGTCACCGAGTCTATGCACTTGCCGACCCAACAACCGTATTAGGGCTCACTACAACCGTTCTGCGTAAATAGGCTTTCATGAAAACCTGCATCACCTAGATCTGTGCTCCTTGAATCCGCTTCATTATATTTGATTGCTATTTGTTGTTGTACTGAGTTCTGTCAGAGTTCTCTCATATACGGATTCCAAGTGGGCTGGCGCTCTGTTTTGCTGCGGAAGATAGGTAATGTACAGAATGCGATGGTCATTATCTCACTTCTATATTTTGTAGCGCCACTTCTCTTTTCGTAGTTTTTTTCTTGGCTCTGTGCCTTTTATTCCCCGATACACGTATTATGCAGTACTCTGATTCACAGTCCACTCCAGATTTTCACTTCCGGTACTTAATCAGACGTACCCATAAAGATAACTCTTCTCCCATTTCCACCTTCTCACAGACTGTGGCCAAAAATGTTACCACTACACCGCACCCATGCTCAGCGGTTTCACTGGAGTAAATCACCAATCTATGATGCTTATCTACAATCGCTGCATGTGGACCCCCGTAGTGCAGTAAGTCTTTTATCCTCGCAGTTGGAAAAGCATTCATTTGCGAGGTTATTCGGACTTTGGAATCGCGCCCGAGTGACTGATCCCCTATGCCCTGTCGATAATCAATATATTTATTAGTTCACGTTATCTGATAAGCTTCGGTAGAGACCAGACTTGTAGTCTCTTCGCCAATGCTATTCATTAGGACAAATACCTCAATAAATCGGCCCTGTAGAGCCTAGATGTCTTCCGCACACCACAAGTGATACCATAAAGTATTCATTCGTGTCTCACTCAGACATCATCCCAGCTTGCAACTGAGCGTATTTTACAACATTTATTTAGTCCCTTATTCAATTAGGAAACAAGACCGATGATCTTTGAGCTTTATTGCGTTAGAGCAGTCGGAAGAAGACATCATCTTGCAACTGAGCGTATTTTACAACATTTGTTCAGTCCCTTATTCAATTAGGAAACAGGACCGATCATCTTTGAGCTTTATTGCGTTAGAGCAGCCGGAACCATTCGATACTGCCCCACCTATGAACTCGGTCACCGTCATCATTCTGGTTCAATAATGTAGTAGAAATAATGAGTGAATGGCTACGCTTCAAGTACGATAGCTTACTTCGTGGGGGTGGGTGAATATAGCAGTGGCAGTTGATACTTTGTTATTGGTGGAGAGACAAAAGGGATGGGCATACATTGAAAGTTCTAGATGTCGGTGTGTGACTGGACCATATCGGTCAATATTTTCCAACGAGCAGTACGTCTTGTCTTAGGCTCCTACGCAGTGAAATCGCAACCACCAACCGGGATGAATATCCGCGTTATGGCTTTCATGCTTCATCGCTGAGCCTTTATCTGACCTCCCCTAGACCACCACCATTCCCATATGAGAGCCTTTATCTGACCTCCCCTAGACCACCTCCACCATTCCCATATGGTCATACGAAAATGATTTGTCGGCGGAGTCCGTTTACTGGTGTACGAACCGCCAAGCTATCTAGAGCTCGGTACTCAAGACGCGGACTTACTGACCGGGAAGTCTGAGCACAACCCCGATATCTCGACTGCTCCTATGTAGGCTCGGATGACCTTATAATATCTTAGCCCTTGTGCTTCCTTTGGATGGCGTGGAAGCCAGAACTCGGAAGGTTATTTCAGCTAAACGATTGATTGTTTTATTATACGAACGGCGTGACCAAGCCAGTAGTCAAGGCTTGTCCATCTCGTACAACTTAAGTCCTTCAAAGTGCTTTGGGTACACTCCAGTATTGCTCATATAATATTTCCGTAAGACCCCGTCAGTGCCGTGGAAACGCCATTGGTCGAATAGTGAAAGACTTTCAACACCTGTATTCGTAATGCACTACTCATAAGGTTGCTGAAAATTCTTCGACAGTCCACGACCGGTTTCGCCCTTCTTGGGGCTCATCAGGCAGGCTCAGTCCCCGAGTTTCTGTCAATCTTGTGTTCACGAAATGTTGCACGAACTTAGCGACTACACTCATTTGCAAAGAAATTTGGTTTTGCGAGAGGCTCACCGGGAACCCAGCTGGATCTCTCGTTCGTGATGTTTCCAGGCAACTGAATGTGCTGCACCTGGCCGCCTCATGTTTCACTTGCTACGATATTCCAGATATCGCAATACATGTATATTCGTAGTGCACTTCTCAGAAGGATGCTAAAAATTCTTGGAAACATCACAAACGAGAGATTCAGCTGGGTTCCAGGTGAGTGTCTCGCAAAACCAGATTTGTTTGAAAATGAGTGCATTTCATTTTCAACACCTGTTGGCAGTGACCGGGTCCATGAATTTACGTATAAATAAGAAGCACATTATGATATTATACATGCTAATCTCGTGTCTACGCCACAGGAGCTTTGCGATGTAGCAAAGATTGTGTTCCCTCAATCCGTATGAAAATATGGTTTTCCTTACAAATTACGCATTCATTCTAGTAAATATGTCTATTCCGTTCACTTGTTCTGGTTTCACTCTACACAGAATTATGCTCTCCTCTGTACATTCAAGTTTTAGTGCGGGTTTTAAACCGCGCGGCATGATTACGGTTTTCTTCAGATATTGTTGGTTTCTTCTGATATTCCCAAAATGATGCAGTTGTCTACTTATGGCGAAACCTTTTGGAGGAATCCACGGAAACAAGAAACGCATTTTTAATAGCGAAAAACCATTTTCCTGCTGCTGGCGATCGATAGCGCACAACCATCTATCATCACTGATGCTTTTCTGCGGTACAATCACAATTTATTTGGGGGCCTTATTGATGACCCGAAAAACGCAGTAATTATTACGCCTCACCAAAAGAACTGTAGCTTCATAACTGCATTTTCGTGCGAGTTCTCCGCGATTTGAAATCCTCTTATCAGTAACTTTCCAGTAATGCTCGGGTTTCCAGCCTCGCTTGCTCATTATCCGTCGTTTTTTTACTGCCCCAACTTCAAGACCAGCAGAACTACTCACATCACTCTCATTCATTGTTTATTAATTGGTTACCATGGAGTGGTTCCTGTGTTCCCCCTTCCCAGCGTGAAACAAGCAGAACATTCGCATGAGACTAGGGAGGCTAGTGGGACCGAACACACAAGGTGGCTGTACAATCGCTTCAGTCAACCCGCATTACCTCAGTGTGGTTGACTGTTACACAACCATCTTCATAAATCTCGGCAGTTAAACTCGACGGAACAAAACAAGAGAATGTGCCTATTGGGCCTAGCAGTAATGCATACATGCTGCGCAGACATCTTGCCGATCGCGGCAGCAACGAGTGTCGACGGAAAACGTGTCGGTGCTGAGCAAACCAGCAACACTTGGCGTGCATTCATAATCCCAGGGGAACTGCCGGAGTACTGGTATCACTTTGGCTAACGGTAATACTGTGGATCATCAAGCGGCAGCAACGAGTGTCGACGGAAAACGTACCCGTGCTGAGCAAACCAGCAACACTTGGCCTGCATTCACAATCCCAGGGGAACTGCCGGAGTACCTGTATCACTTTGGCTAACAGTAATACTGTGGATCATCAGTTCAACTTACTCATACTCCACTGATAACATACTCACAACCATACCAGCGTGTATAATAACAACCTAGCCAATTTGGATGGGTTGTTTAATCGATTCTGCGCACATGTTCCTAAGATCATTCGGCGAGATGTGTAAAATTTTTGAGCGTAAGTGAAGTAAAGGTGCACTAGAGTACGTATGGTTATGAGCCGTCAGATAAAAAGCGTAGAAAGCGATATTGTATGAGTTTATTAATTGTTACGTCAACGGTAGCTTTGAAAACCGGTCGGAATTAAAAAGATTCATAAACATCTGTTTGAAGGTCTAAAATGGGAGCTGACACTTGGTATAGCTGCGGTTGCTAGATAAGCAATATCATGCATTACTCAGTTTTTTCTGGGATGGTAATTCCATGCAGGGTCCGTTCAACACCAGCCAAGGATTTGGAGTAACGGGATTACTGCATATCTAAATAGAACACCACGTAGACTGTTACAACCTCTGTTTTTTTACAATTGGCGACATCAACTGGTAACGGCGCTAATCACCGTACCTTAGGGGATTCGAGTAAACCGAAAACAACCGCCCGCCCATCAAAGAGTGCTTTCGTCGGTGATTCGCTGTTTTTCACATATTTGGGCTATATGCAACCATACCTGTGAGTTTTACGTAGTTGTGCATGATCTAAGGAAGTACAGGATTCTTCACTTCCCACAAGGTCTCACACTATGGACGTTCACTTACGTAAACCGATGCTCTAAATTTTACCACCTGTGACAGCTACCAACTAGTTGGGTTAACCAGTGTGTACGTACCAACAAAAACTTTTTGTGATCTGAAGGGCGCCTTCTTAAATTCTCACACTGATTCATCAACAGAATTTACCTCAAAACAGAGCGTGAGCTATTCACACTAACTGGTCTATCGAGTAGGCGACAGTGGATCTTTCAGCATCGCTGTGATTTATGCATCCAGTCGCTTCTTTCCAGTTAGTGATTGCGAAATTGCCGGAGGGTATATCCGTAAAGCCAGTATCTGTTTGGGTCCATACCTGGATTAATGTATGTTGCATTTGTTGAGTGGCGCAGAGGTGCCATTCTGTATTTGCCAACATCCAAACGGAGCCAAGAATTTTACGTCATCCTTTTCTTAACTAACGGGGTCAGTTTCGCATCCTTGGGTTACACAGGTTACAAGCTTAAATAACCCTAATTCGTGCATATTGGTGTCCTCAGTTCTATTTTACACTTTACTCGAATTACGGGACGGGAACGATAGTATATAGAACAAGCTATGGGAGCAATCTGCACATGGTGCGGTACGTCAAGGATTGATGTCTTACCACCAAACGCGTATACCTCACAGCCTACAGATGCGTTGAGTGAATGACAATCGGGATTGCTGATTTGAACTCAAAAATACTGATGAGCTGTCATCCGTCCCAGTTTGTCGACTGATCCCCGCACGCAATAGGTAATGCCATGTGCGATTGAATCCGAGCAGCATGTGCAACCATCCGAAACCCTTGTGTCCGGTCGGTAGTCTTGTTGTTAGTTCTAACCCACAATCCATCCTCATCACGTTCTGGTGTGAATTTACTCTGTACATAAGATGGCGGTAATTGGATATCACTTCTAGCGTCATTGAGAGCGTACCACGTCGGTGTGTGCAGTGTGGCAAAGCATTTTGGGTGGCTTTGGTTTATACGGTGATTTTTACGAGATGTTACTTGTCGATTAGTCGAAATATATGTAGGTCGGGTGTGTTTACTGTTGGTTGATCATATGGTGAAGTTGATCTGTTCGCCGAGCTTGGCAATTGGTTTGCAAATGTTTTGTCCCCAGTCGAGGAGACATCGTCAGCGCGCAGTTGAGTGCGCACTGGAGTACCTGTCTGATAACTCAGAAAATCTAAAGCAGATCTGATTATCCGCCGAATTTTCGTCAGTAGTTTTTGTGTTCGAATGAGAGACTCACTGACAGTGGCTACACAAGGGTCTGATCGGATGTTGAATTAATGAACACTGGAATTTTTCTCGTTTTTGTCTTTCGCCTGGAATTCTACCGGCCCTGCGGAAGAGACTACAGGAGCTAACAGCGCAGTGTTCTCCAGCCTGTTGGTACGAAGATCTTCGGGTGAGCGGTGCGCTCCATTGCAGTCATTTCTGTCGACAAGACTTAATAATAGTGCCGCATCCGGTATATTCGAGTGAAAATCGGGCTTGATTTTCCAACGTGTCGGTACCAGTAGCTAAACTGGATGAAGAACGCAGATCTATCATCCAATTTCCGGGGTACAACATTTCTCTAGTGGGTAACCTCCCAACTTCCAATAACCTTTTTAAAATTTTTTTTGCAATCTCAAGGTTTCCACTTTAGGATCTCGTACTAAGCAAGACGCTTCTCCGAAACTAATAGGTTATGAAGTGCCTTCGTACCCACTGCTCACGTCCTTTGACTACCATCTACAACTTCCAAAGCGGAAACTTGGGGAATCGGTTGTACAAGGCTGTGACTTTATGCTGAGGAGACTAGTTTTCTGACCCATTAATATCGAATATTGACCCGAGGAATACCATTAACCGACCGAACCCTCTGTTGATTCAGTTAGTATTGCATGTGCAACTCATGATGATGTCAACTAGATACTTGCTCATATTTCAGTGTTGCGACTAAATTAATGCGTGGGTTGAGCGCGACTTTATTCCGCTACCTAGAGGGCACTCTAATCCAGCACTACTGTTCTATATGTCTGAAGCCAGGTGCCCAACTCCCCTAGCATCGTTCGACTGCCTTATCGTGGACAGTGGCCATATGACCTTTTCATCTAATGAGGTCTGCATTCCTCCTCCGATATCTACAATGCGTGTGCTGTGTGCGGGTATCGTTCAACTGTCATAGCACAGGTAAACTGGATCCGCGAGCTGTGTACAATCCTGTTACATTCTCTAGTTGGTTAAGAATGCATTTTTACCAGGACCCGGTGCCGTGACGACAGGCTGCTGGAACGGAGCCTGACGTGAAATGCATACGGAATGAATCACTCATTTTAGCAATCTACAACTGACTGTGTAGTGCAAAGGATTATTCGGGATCCAATCGAGGCATAGAAGTGCATTTTGCAAGAAGTAGTTCGTCAAAGATCGGTTTTGGCTAAGGTTGTGAACATTTATCATGTGTTGGCGAACAAAGAATTCACTTATTTGGATCACTAATTAAGAATCATCCCAATAAGGTGACCTCCAACAAGAGCGCTGTCCCGTCGTACACATCTCAGTAACTTTTCGATTGAGGAGCTCTGAATAGATGCGATTGAAAATTATGCAGTGCTACTTTGGTTGGTCTTCTAAAGGAAATGTAGGAGCTGCGATGAGACTTTTTAATCTTGCTTCCAGATGCGGGAAACATTTCATTGTGACATACTGCAAGCTGAATGAAGCTGTATCCATTATCGTGGACAGTTTAGACCAGATTCTCAAAACAGTGCTAAAATTTCACACAAAAGGCACATGTTATCTAGTTCTAAGACAGCCATTTATATCAACAAACATTACGTCAAACTCTGTCCAGATAAAGAAATGTCCATCAAGGTAGATAGATCAGTGGGATAGAAACGGCTCCTTGTTCGGTTCGTTCGGTAATTCAGTAACGTTGTGTCCAATTGGCGCACAATGTTTCAGGGCGAAGAATTGTTCTTTTCAAGGTGAACACTGTATCAACCATGAGACAATCAAAAAGAAGAGTGAAGGACATAATCGACCAGCTAGCTACAAAACCTTTCACCAACCAATCTTGATCAGGTCATTTTGATAAACTTGAAATTGATTGTTTCTTCCAATCAATTGGAAAAAAATTTTGGAACTGATTGAGAAGTCATCTTTTCTAAAGGGCTTGGTAAACAATCGGTAGTTTTTAACTTGGCAACGTTTCGCTTTTGACACAAAAACTCCATCAGGTCAAGTAGGCAGGTCACCAAGCTCGCCAGGTTTTAAGGCAGACGGAGAACCAATCAGTAAGACCTCTTCAGATTAGCACATTAGATCAGTGTTGAATGTCAGTTCAACCATCTTGTCGGTCATTGTTGCCCAGAAGTAGCAAGCTGATGCTGCTAATCAAAGGATCGTGGGTCTGATCCCTCTACGCTCACATGAATGCGAGTAAAGTCAAAAGAACTCGTTAAACTGAACTGAACTGAACTGAACTCCGATCGCAGCTGTGTGTACGAAAGCCAAAAATGGTGATAAACTTTCACTCAATAAAAAAGTACCGCCTCGACATCAGTCAAGGAAGTATGAAGGTCGAGCACCTCATGTGGATACCCTGTATCTTCGTCTGAAGATGTTTGCACGGATGTGTCGAAGTGTAACATTCGCACGACAATTCATCTGTGATCTGTGTGGCACACTAATTCCTGAAAACGTGATAGTGCGCCTACGCTCCGCTGCGAACTGTCAATTCTAACTTCTCGTCTCCTCTGTCCTCATGTAGCTGTCTCGGATCAGCTTGGTGGATGTCAGGGCTTGTGTTTTAATCACCCCGCATTAAATCGTTTTGCGTACTTGTGGCGTTTGTTTCACTGTCGTTTTATGTTTCCTATCCGCAATTCCCATGCTGGCTTCTATTCGGTAAGCCCTGCTAGCTTCTATCTAACTCCCAGAGCGTCGTTGTATTGCAACTAAACTTTTAGCTCAGTATATACCACTTCGTTTCACAACCGCGCTGTTGTTCGCATTCTAAACGCGCTTGCACCGCCAATGCGAAGCAGAGTGACAAGGTTATAACTTGTTAACTATCAGCACATTTATACTCGTTCGAAAAATTTCATAATAAAATGTTTCGTCACAGGCGTTCGCTATCAAGACAGATGACCAGTCTCAACAGGTACACGTTGTCCACCCTCCCCCAAACTAAAATGAAGATTTCAAGTTCGTATGTTATTTTTAAAGTGGTTGTCTTAAACTGTACCTGCCAGAAAATTGTGACAGTTAATTACCCCTTCTCAACTCGTTTGGTTTGAGGCTTTAAGGTAGTTTGGTCGCTTCTGAAGTAACTGCGCCACACTCGAAACGGGCGTGAATTTTCCCACCTAGTTTGGGAACTAGCAGTACCCTTTCCGTTGCTATCTCGGCGCATTTGGTGGTGTGTCTCAGGAGCCCATCTAAACTTTGTTTGCGCGTCGTATTTTCAGACTCAGTCGGATATTTTTACCTAAGCAAGTCGAATGCTCCCTGGGTCAAAAACCTTTAACTACGGGGGTGTTTGTTTAGTTGCGAAAAGGAAGGTAGCTGTAATACAAAGTCAGCTGATTTGAGCGGATACTGGGTTACCACAGAATATTCGGTTCTCCTCAATGCGACGAGCACATCCGGCCGACACTCATTTTTCCATCTTATATCTGCACACCTCACTAGATGCCTGCTTTTGCCAGTCAGTTGCGGCTTCTGGAGCCCGTCAGGCTTGATTCTGTCAATCGGTCCTCTTCCACTGTACAGTCAAGCAAAACATCCACGCTATCCTCTCCTACCCGAACGTCTGGATCTTCTTTGAAACCTAATACTGATCGGTCCTCAACAAGTTCCTCGGCCGAAACCCCCGAATTCGATTGGAATTCCAGCGGTCTGAGAAATCCCTTCCAAGGTTTGTTGAAATTTCCTGTGAGATTGGTTTTGGTATTTTCTGAGCACCATAAAAGCATGGCGCTTATTCAGTGCAGATAAACACCCACTCTGAGAATTGTGTTGATTTTACCGGCGAGCTGAAATGAATCCCGGCTGGATATCTTGCTTATGATATTGTTCAATTCAGTACGTTGCACAGAGCCTGCTTCATGTCTTAGTTGCAGCGTTATCTGTGATGCTGAAGTAATTCACTTTTGATTGCTGAAATTGGACAGGTGTTCAGTTGGTATTCAAGTGCGAAATGAGTGCTTATTACTCTAGGACTCCTGCATTATTTCGTAAACATCTGAATCTATCGTCTGGTGTTCACCATATCATGAAGCGTCTCCGCTTTGTTTTTACTGTCTCCTGCAGCCCGAAAACAGTAACCAACACTTTGAAATTTTCGAAAATTGTCTCTCCTTGCCTGTATAAAGACGTTCGTGGTCACTTACATTACTTTATACGTCTGTGTTTGTGTGTGGATCAGCCTTTATTGACAGTGAGTCGCAGATGTGGACGCCGGGCGCTCACGTACCAGATTGTGAACCACTTCAGCAACCATCCGAACTGTCACAAACTGGAGTGAGAATTTGCCGAGGCTTGGTGCTCTACACAGAAATCGATCAATGAGCACATGGATATCGACCCAATCTACCAAGTGCTATGAACAAAAGAACTAAGTTTGGGGACTCTGATCTCCCTATGACCCTCCCAGGCCAGCAGTCACGTCAAGACAGGCACTAAAGGTGCACAACGTGTGTGAACGCCCGAAAGCAGGTCAAAAACACTTATACAATGCATTGTATATAAAGTGTATGTGGCGACATTCTTCAAATTCTGACGCCTAGATGCGCCATTGGCAACCGGTATTCATTGAATACTGGATCATGATTGTCTCTTGGGTTCAGACTTTCAGTCAGTCAGCTCACCTTGATGCTGGACTGGCAATCGGCTCGATCTTCCGGCTAATCGCGTGTGTGATAGGCTTCATGGCCGTAGCAGCGTCTAACTGCGAGCGGTAAAGTGTTATTGTGGCAGAATTCCGTCCAACAGGGATTGGAAAAGAAAGCAACTAAACATGGGTTATCCAACCAAGAACCGAACCAGTCGACAGAAACAGCCCAATCATCACGGAGGAAGAGAACTGTCGAATTGGACGACCAACTAGATACAAGGGAATGAAGCCACACGCAACACAGATTCCCAGCTGGCCAACCAAATTTTGCTACAGCCACCTCGGAACCGATCACTCACTTTAGAGCTATTGCATATAAGCAAATGCAGAAGAGGAATGCACCCACTTATACCCGTGCTGACGATGTCACATCGGTTGTTGACAAGCTCAGCGAACAGACCAGCAAAAAAAAAATAAAATACAAATCGTTCAGCTGTAGCACCCTTCCGGTGCCTAGCTGCCATGCCACCCGGAGGAAGCACGAGGGCTGGGATACTGCCAAGTTGCCCAAGCCTAGACAGGGGAAGTCGAGTTCCGAATGTCGGATTCGAACCACGGACCTTCCGGTCGGTAAATTCGCGCTCTAACCACTTGGGCTATCTTGCCCCGAACAGACCAGCAATCGCATCTGTCGCGTTCCTATCTCCTCTCTACAATACCCAACGCTAGTATGTATTTCGAACTAGCCGCTTGCACCCAGTGCGTCAATGCACCATCCCTAACTGGGCGAAGGTTGCTTAGGTTCAGTCACGAACATCTGCCCAGGAAACTGGACAGATGGTTCGCAAATTTTGGCCGAACGGTTTTGGGTGGCACTTCAGTTCTATGAATTTTCACATCCCATTTGCTGTCGTGGTTACACCAAATTTTCCGCGTTACTCCCCTAATCTCATTATTCTCCATCCTCTTTCTTGCGTTATTCATAAATATAATGTAACGAATTGTTCGCCATCCGAATTTTCCACATTGTAGTGTAGCTTACACCCGACAGACTCAAGTTCAAGACCCTATGACGAGTGCGAGTAATGTTTCTTTCTCCTCTCTCTCTCTCTCCCTCTGCGTACAGAAACCAATGCTAATCCGATACAGCTGGATCTAGATTTCTTCGAGCTTCAGCAACCACCAGCACAGCAGCAAGTGAATTCGAGTTTGGAAAAGTCAAGCGGAGTAGCAGGTGCGGTTCAAGCGTGACTATTATTTACTATTAGTTGCTAGAATGTTATAGCAAAATGTTGTTTCAATGTATTCAGACTATATCGGGTACACAGTTAATTTGTCTACGGGATTATCATTTTCATCCTAATTCGGTAGCGCTTATGTTTCATCTGTACGTTGCATCGGTTTGCATCTCTGTCTACCTAGTTCTTATATATTTTCCTTCCCCAATGATCCCATTTTGATCACACAACGTTTTCTGTCTCAGAATACTATCACTATTTACACTTCACTCTTGTTTATATCAGAACTTGAGCGAGAGTTATTCTCTGCAATCGTGAAGCCTCCTTCAAATACCGTGCCACAGTTGGTGGTTAACCAACCATCTGCCACTCCAGCTGTACCAGAACGCAGTAAAAACGTACGTACCGCCTTGATGAGGCTCCCTAAGCTGACTTATATGCGGGCGAAGTGCCTCATATTCCCTGTAGCCGAGGAAAAACCCACGTGATTGATTCACCTTCCGTCTTCGTTCGCAAGTTTCCGTGATGAGGATTTCATATAAATCTTTACGCACTTGTTTTGATTCACTAAAGCGGTGGCTGACGATTTTTTCCGTCAACGTATGCTTTTGTGCGCAAGGGACTTGTTGACTTTCAGTTGTCCATTTTTCTCCGTTAACCCACTGATGCCTTTTATTAATTTCTCATCTGTGACAAATGCTACTTTGGATTCTTATGATCAAATGTTTCTTGAGCATTTTGAATTCTTTTTCGCTTGTTTTGGGTAATTCGACGGTCGTCAACCTGTCTTTGCAATTGAACAAGTACTTTGAAGTCCGATCGAGTTTTCAGCTCCCAATATCTACTTTCTGCTCCAAAAATGCCGTCACTGCTGTAACGCCTGATGCGGAGAAATATCCGGCGGTTAGTGTAGCCTGTTGTTAAAAAACCGTTCAGACGTAACGCCGTTTCGGTGCCTAGCTGCCATGCCACTCGAAAGCGGCATGAGGGCTGAGATACTGCCAGGTTACCCAAGCCTAGACAGGAGAAGTCGAGACGTACAGGTCGGGTTTGAACCACGGACCTCCCGGTCAGAAAATTCGTGCTCCAACCACAGCCATCTCGCCCCTGTTGTTAGGTCCCGTTATCTTGCATGAGGGTACCGTGTGTTGAGATGATCAAGAAAAACGCTGTTGCCTAGTGATTGGCAGCGGGTCCTCTGTTCATTGTACATGATCTCGTGCTGAGATTAGTGGATATTAGCAATCAGTGCGATCGTCATGTAGAGTTTATGCGTGGACACTACTCCCCTGAACTCGACAATGGGGCACTAATATTCGGCTTGGCCCTTGGTCAGTACCATACGAATGGTACCACCATATGAATGGTGGCTGCTTCGCAAACATGAAAAAAATAATCTTGGCAAAACGTAAAATAATGGGGAAGGGCGAGGTCTTATAGAATGAAGCCAGCAGCAAGTCACTGCGCCATCAAGTAGTGGAGAAACACATACGTGGGCGTCCCGTTGGAGTGATGCGGAACCAGTTGGAATGGGCAAACATCTTTAAGAAACTTATCTATCACTAATATAACGCAGACTATAGACAAACCTGATTCAACAATCTGTCTAATAGCTGTAGATGACGACCCTTCGAATCCTTTTTCAAAGAGTCCCAATCATCTGCTTTCACAAACAGTAAAAGAATCAGTCTCATCTGTGACAAATGCTACTTTGGATTCTTATGATCAAATGTTTCTTGAGCATTTTGAATTCTTTTTCGCTTGTTTTGGGTAATTCGACGGTCGTCAACCTGTCTTTGCAATTGAACAAGTACTTTGAAGTCCGATCGAGTTTTCAGCTCCCAATATCTACTTTCTGCTCCAAAAATGCCGTCACTGCTGTAACGCCTGATGCGGAGAAATATCCGGCGGTTAGTGTAGCCTGTTGTTAAAAAACCGTTCAGACGTAACGCCGTTTCGGTGCCTAGCTGCCATGCCACTCGAAAGCGGCATGAGGGCTGAGATACTGCCAGGTTACCCAAGCCTAGACAGGAGAAGTCGAGACGCACAGGTCGGGTTTGAACCACGGACCTCCCGGTCAGAAAATTCGTGCTCCAACCACAGCCATCTCGCCCCTGTTGTTAGGTCCCGTTATCTTGCATGAGGGTACCGTGTGTTGAGATGATCAAGAAAAACGCTGTTGCCTAGTGATTGGCAGCGGGTCCTCTGTTCATTGTACATGATCTCGTGCTGAGATTAGTGGATATTAGCAATCAGTGCGATCGTCATGTAGAGTTTATGCGTGGACACTACTCCCCTGAACTCGGCAATGGGGCACTAATATTCGGCTTGGCCCTTGGTCAGTACCATACGAATGGTACCACCATATGAATGGTGGCTGCTTCGCAAACATGAAAAAAATAATCTTGGCAAAACGTAAAATAATGGGGAAGGGCGAGGTCTTATAGAATGAAGCCAGCAGCAAGTCACTGCGCCATCAAGTAGTGGAGAAACACATACGTGGGCGTCCCGTTGGAGTGATGCGGAACCAGTTGGAATGGGCAAACATCTTTAAGAAACTTATCTATCACTAATATAACGCAGACTATAGACAAACCTGATTCAACAATCTGTCTAATAGCTGTAGATGACGACCCTTCGAATCCTTTTTCAAAGAGTCCCAATCATCTGCTTTCACAAACAGTAAAAGAATCAGTCGTAATACACTACTCATAAGATTGCTGAAAGTTCTTCGACAGCCCACGACCGGTGTCTCCTCTGCGGGCTTATCACGTAGGCGCAGTCCCCGACTGTCCGTCAACCTCATGTTGTACTTGAAACCAGATTGCATGAGGTTAACGAAATACATGTTTGCAAACAAATTTGGTTTTGCGAGAGACTCACTTGGAACTCACCAGTTGAATCTCTTGTTTATGATGTTTTCAAGCAACTGAATGTGCTGCACCAGGCTGCCTCATGTTTCGATTGGTACGCTATTTGAGATATCGCGATATATGTAAGGACGTATACACTAGTCATAATAAGTGTATTTCGCTAATTTCGTGAAATTTGGTCTCAAGTAGAACATATGGTTGACGGAACCTCGGGGGCTGCGTCTACCTGATGAGCCCCAAGAAGGGTGAAACCGGTGGTGGGCTGTCCAGGAATTTTCAACAACCTTATGAGTAGTGTGTTACCTCTAGATGCATCGCGATATCTCGAATATCGTACCAACTGAAACATGGGGCGGCTTGGTGCAGCACATTCATTTACTTGAAGACATAGACGATTCAGCTGGGTTCCCGGTGAGCCTCCTGCAAAGCCAAATTTTTTTTCATTTTGTGTATATTTGTGTATTTGGCTAGGCGCTCCACTATTCTACGGCCCTTAGAGGAGAGGCGAATTCATGAGTTTAAATCCCTTTGGGCAGTTTGAGAACTGATTAATGGATGTTAACCTTGTGCACTTTTAGTTTCTGGAGTTGTTGTACTCGAGGAACACTGCAACTTATTGCTTTTCGTAGGCTTTCTGGTGACTGACTTTCAGTGATAGTTGAGCGGAAAGTGTGAACGTAAAAGTCAAACCCAAGGTCATACACTTGTTACTGTGGATGACAGCAACTATCTTTTTCCCTTCTTTGCGATTTACTGCCTGCACTTATTACTCGCCTGGTCACCTTGATCACTGTGTTAGCATACTATGTGGTGCGAACCTACCTTTGTGTGTATACTCTGCTGCCGATTGTCGACTAAGGTTATTCGTCTGTCGATGTCAACAAACTGCTCATGTCAGTCAGCATTGTGTGCATAGACTTGACACTAATCGATAGGTATCCTTTATTGAGGGGCTGTTCAATACAGATATGATACCGTTCTCATATTTGTAGGGTCGGAAATAATGTAGTTCATGAATTCTGAGACTCTCCTCTATCACCATCGTCGGCCTTACTTAGTGAAATTATGTCATTTTTGCTGCCTTATTTTCGAGACACATTTCTCAGTATTTCGACTACAACATAAGCACGAAGATAGAGGACTCATTATCTCGAGATTTCGTTCCTCTTCAAGTCTTTCTGAACCGGAAATCAGTCATTGTAAAATCCTTTCCATTTTCAGTGCATCGTAAACTTAAGCCTCAATCCTGCAGCTAGTTGGCTTGGTTAAGAGCGAATAGAAGATGAGATAACAAAAAGGAAACTCTCCACGCTAAACAGGTAGCTGCTGCATACCTGGCTCCTAGCTGATTCACGTCCTTACTTCAGGAACAAATGTAGGGACGATCACACACACAGAGAACGGACATCAGTCAGTACGATCCCAACCAAATGTCCAAGCGTGAGCCAAGTCGAATGCTTCGAAGGTCAGAGAGCTGACGCATTCACCCTATAATGAATCACAAGTTACCCTATCCATATGAAAACGAAAGGGGCGTATGAACGCTTCTCCCCGACCCTTGCTCGAGCAACCTAGCTCCGTCCACTGAGAACAGACGACCAAGCTCGTGAAACGGTATATTGCAAAGATGACAGGAAGATCCACGACGAGAGATCCATCACGCCACGATGTGCATGGACTTGCCGTCTCATGGAGTCTGCGTCCAGAAAGCGCCCCGTAGAGTTTCACCTACAGATAGTATACAACAATGCTCGGGACACTGACCATGGTCCTCTGACNCTTGAAGACATAGACGATTCAGCTGGGTTCCCGGTGAGCCTCCTGCAAAGCCAAATTTTTTTTCATTTTGTGTATATTTGTGTATTTGGCTAGGCGCTCCACTATTCTACGGCCCTTAGAGGAGAGGCGAATTCATGAGTTTAAATCCCTTTGGGCAGTTTGAGAACTGATTAATGGATGTTAACCTTGTGCACTTTTAGTTTCTGGAGTTGTTGTACTCGAGGAACACTGCAACTTATTGCTTTTCGTAGGCTTTCTGGTGACTGACTTTCAGTGATAGTTGAGCGGAAAGTGTGAACGTAAAAGTCAAACCCAAGGTCATACACTTGTTACTGTGGATGACAGCAACTATCTTTTTCCCTTCTTTGCGATTTACTGCCTGCACTTATTACTCGCCTGGTCACCTTGATCACTGTGTTAGCATACTATGTGGTGCGAACCTACCTTTGTGTGTATACTCTGCTGCCGATTGTCGACTAAGGTTATTCGTCTGTCGATGTCAACAAACTGCTCATGTCAGTCAGCATTGTGTGCATAGACTTGACACTAATCGATAGGTATCCTTTATTGAGGGGCTGTTCAATACAGATATGATACCGTTCTCATATTTGTAGGGTCGGAAATAATGTAGTTCATGAATTCTGAGACTCTCCTCTATCACCATCGTCGGCCTTACTTAGTGAAATTATGTCATTTTTGCTGCCTTATTTTCGAGACACATTTCTCAGTATTTCGACTACAACATAAGCACGAAGATAGAGGACTCATTATCTCGAGATTTCGTTCCTCTTCAGGTCTTTCTGAACCGGAAATCAGTCATTGTAAAATCCTTTCCATTTTCAGTGCATCGTAAACTTAAGCCTCAATCCTGCAGCTAGTTGGCTTGGTTAAGAGCGAATAGAAGATGAGATAACAAAAAGGAAACTCTCCACGCTAAACAGGTAGCTGCTGCATACCTGGCTCCTAGCTGATTCACGTCCTTACTTCAGGAACAAATGTAGGGACGATCACACACACAGAGAACGGACATCAGTCAGTACGATCCCAACCAAATGTCCAAGCGTGAGCCAAGTCGAATGCTTCGAAGGTCAGAGAGCTGACGCATTCACCCTATAATGAATCACAAGTTACCCTATCCATATGAAAACGAAAGAGGCGTATGAACGCTTCTCCCCGACCCTTGCTCGAGCAACCTAGCTCCGTCCACTGAGAACAGACGACCAAGCTCGTGAAACGGTATATTGCAAAGATGACAGGAAGATCCACGACGAGAGATCCATCACGCCACGATGTGCATGGACTTGCCGTCTCATGGAGTCTGCGTCCAGAAAGCGCCCCGTGGAGTTTCACGTACAGATAGTATACAACAATGCTCGGGACACTGACCATGGTCCTCTGACTACTTATCGAACGTGCTGAGATTTCGGGGAAGATAGGCTCATAATGGGATTGCTAGATAATGTCCACATCAGATCGTCACTTGCTTATGAGCACTGCTTACCTAAAGAATAAATGACATCCAAGTGCTCTTTTACCTTTTTAGTTAACGTGATGACGAACAATGCGACATACTCCTGCCCAACGTACGCAAAAACCGGGTGTCTGTTTAAATTTCCCGCACGAAGCAGGTCTTTTGACAAATTTCCGTCTCCCATTTGACCTGGAACTAACACCCTGTAGTCTGGCCTATTAGTGCAACACGAAGGGGAGTTAGCAGTTGAATTATTCAGTGAGTTCCAAGAAGATTGGCTTTGGAACAACCTCTCCTTCCAGGATAGTTACCTACGGTCAGTTAAGATAGACGGGTCTGTAATGCTGAATACTTACAGTGGACTTGCCCCCGGTCTTATGAAGCAGAGGCGTAGAGAGCAGTGCATGTAGTATAGTTGTATAATCGACTGGAGGTTTGAAAGAGTGCACCATTCGTGCGAACAACAATAATACATGATTTATTAGCGGGTCCGGTTTATCATGCCGAAACCCATACTGAATGAACCAAGTGGAAAGTGATTACAGTCACCAACAGGAAGCTGCAGAGGCTCAAACCTCTACAGCTCGTGAGATGAGTTCGAGCTATATTTGAGTGGTGTTAGGCGATCAAGCGTTTGTCTCAGTTTAACACTGTATGGGCTGGACGACATCGCCCACTCAAAACTCAACTAATCAATATTGATAAAAGACACGCCAGAGTCTTTACGGGAAAAATGGTATATGAAAGGGATTTACCGGTCAGTATTGGTTGAACCATTGGATGTGCATTTTTGGGCGGTCGAGGTTTTCCGGAACATGATATGCTGCAGCGTGCAAGCCGTGGAAGCTGACGTCGACCCGAGGGAATGCACTCAGCTGGTGACCATGCTAAGATCCGCTGCAAGTGATCACTTGATTTAAATTTGACGGCATAGCGATGAGCGCCGAGTAGGTTATCTATCGTGACACGAGAACAGGCAATCAGGCAGAAGTGCATTCATAAACACGTTTTGGTCCTTGCACGCCATCGTTTATTTCATTACTGGTCCGCTGCGCGCTTTAGCCCAACCGACGGATGTCCCGGGTGAAGATGTTAGATATCTCCGGTTTCCGAAGACTGATTGTCTTTGTTCGTGGGTTGATTCAACAGCGCCTGTTTCAGCTATTTATTCCACATCTTTGTCGTTGGTTTTTTGGTGACTGAGCTGTTTGACAGCTTTCTGTAATTTAGTGGCTCTGACGTTCAACTCTGCTGTCCTACCAATTGTTACCCGTAGATCGGCTTAGCCGGTATTATACTGGGCTTTCGTCGTACAGCGCCCCTCCTCATTAGGTTTTTGGCTCTGCCGTGAAATCCTTTGAGTCTCAGCAACATAACCTGACAGCACCCCGTTGACCATATGGTTAGTTATATCATCGTCCATAGGACAGAAGTGCGCTATGCAGATAATGATTACAAAAAGAGAAAATCTACTTCTGTTCCAGCTGTTTACCTTTAGCATGTACTTCGGTGAGTACGCTGGTGACTCGGTCGCACGTCCCGCAAGCACTTATGGCCTTGGATGCACTGGGATGACTGAGCCTTTCTGAATGGATCACTTAGTCCGTAACACTGCTTGGTGTAGTGTCGCAAACCTTCTCACACCTGCTTAGATAGTTGATTTGCGGGCCTATTGTCGAAACGTAGGTCTCCTGTAGTCTGAATGGAGGGTCAAGGTTCCCCAAAATTCTTTGAAGACCATACCGTAGTTGCATTTTGGACATATCCGATTTCGAACTGGAGAAAAGTTGTTATGGAGAGAGAGAGTTCCAGCCTAACTAGCAGGATCGGTTTTGGACTGAACTGTATTCGATGTTCAGGATCCGGCTCGTCCAGTTGATCCTAGTGATCTGTAGAATTAAATCGGCAAAGAACCCGGAAAAGTCGTTGGCATAGCATACAGGTTTCGCTGCAGCGCAATAACCCGACTCGCTGCAATTTTTATGTCTATGTGCAATTAATACGTAATAAGGACGCCTTTCCCACTGTGGTCAGATGCTATGCTGGCCATATTAATTCGCGCATTCAGTTGCTTATCAAGCGTTAGGTCTTTCGGTAATGTACTGTCTAAGTGGCAGAAATTCGTGCAGGAAGCGATATGCTGGTGGGCTGAACACTGATCATCCTCCATTATTCCCTCTCGGAATGCGGAAATTTGGAGCAATTATTCGCAAGCGCTATCCCAAAGTCATTGGACCGAACCAGCAATTTTTTCTTGAAAAAACGCCTCGAGTCGAAGAAATGACCGCCCCACCGGCATTGAGTCAGTGTACCACCTTCACACTAGCGAAAGATCTCTGCGCAGATGGTTGTGAAATACAGAACGAAAAAGCTAGTGCGGGGACACAACCCTATTTACCCATTGTATCGACCCCAGATGCACCAGGAATTGGTGAAAAGAGTCGCGTATGGAATTTCATTCCTTCCAGTGTTGGAGGTTTTGGTGAGGTTGACAAATTCGTCCGCACAGCCGAAATTCAGTATGACGGTCCGTGGCGTTTTTTGTTAACTGATTCGAGTCCTTAGAGCGTTTGTGGCGAAGAGTAAAGCAGATGTGCATCGGCCGTTACTGAATCTATGCTTGCATGAAGCCAGAGGCTGGTCAAATGAACAGGACACAAGCCGAAATACCGGCTGCTGCGCATGGAAGACTCGGTAACAACTGATCATCTCCCGCCGGTTTATTTTCCGATCTCCCTGACTGTGCATAGTGGACAGAAAAGTCCGTTCTGCACTATAGGTGCTCTCAGCTCGAACGTCTCAATTATCCTGTCCTGCAACTCCCCATTTTACAGATGCCTGCATTCAAGTAGGCTTCCATTGTAGTTTGGGGAAAATGAGTTATATGGCGCAAATTTACATTTGACCGATTGAGTAGTGTTGAAAAGTGGTGTTTCCCGGCCGTCAGAATTTGGTTAGATTTCTTAAGTTTTTCCCCAGTTCGTTCGTCTTGCACAGGCTGAATATATTATAACAGAAATCTACGTATGACTGAACCTCTCTATTTTGTTTGGTCAATTGTTCGCTAGTTGCTTTCCGCAAGTGCTCCAAAAGGTTCTGGTACTTCCTGGTTGTTACATCTGCCAGGTCTTGGACTGTTTTGACGAAAGCCAAATCCTCGTCCCATACCAAGATGCACTTTGATGAAGTATTTTCATGAAATCAATCAAGCCCCCTTCTTGCTTCAGTTAAACTGTATCCGTTAGGGCTCATTGGTTTTCCATTGCATTTGGGACTTCGCTATCCAACCTTTGCATCGGAGATACGCTCTTTATTTGTCTCACATCCAACTATACTGTTTCCTGGTTTTGGACGTAGCAATTTCCCAAGTATTCGGCACGTAACAAGGTGTGATTGTGCAGTTTTTGGGAACGACTTCTGAGACACGTCGCTGCTTCCAGAAATACGAACGCGCTGATCGTTGTTTGCACCGAACAGTACAACTTAGTACCGGGGCCACTTCGGACTACCCGATCTTATGGCACGGAGATTCGATGCACTTCGTCGGACTGCTGGTTTGGTTGGATCACAAGGAACCACATTCCAGCCAGCGTAGACCTCAATATCATTTCAGAATGGAAGCTTGACCATCATGACAAGTACATTACGAAGTCGCTCAAAATTTTCATGACTGCAACGTTTACGGTGACGGGAAATTCAAGGAGAGCAAGTTCCAAACTCAGTGAACAGATTGTGGTCATTAGAAATTTGAGTTGCAATACATTATTTTCCCTATTTTAGTTTTTAATTTGGATGATTTTATTGGGTACTGTCGGATAGCGGGTACGTGTCTTACGAAGACAGTTGTCTTGATGTCGAAGAACTACAGCAGCTCAATATGGAACCAGTGTGCATGTGCATTCATCTGCTATATCATGGATCACGTGTTTGAATTCATCCAATGGTGCTGGCTTTCGTTTGCACTGTGTGAACCAGTCAAGCATGTGGACCGTACCAAATGCATGAAACAGCTTGTGTGCAGCAAATCCAGTTGAACCATATCGCTGATGAGAGATTCAACAGGGATTTGACACGCTTGATGAGTGCATTTTAATGATAACTCTGGGACTACTCCTACCTGAAGAGTCCCATAAAACGTTAAATCAGCAGTAGACTGTCGAAGGGTTTTCACCAACTTAGTGAGTAGCGTAGTGCTAGTTCAAGAAAAAGTATCCCAAACACTCAGCCCCTTGTTCCCTCAATACAGCTCTACTTCTCAAATCTCTTAGATTTCATCCCTGAGTTCAAACTAATTGAAAACCACTGCCTAAGAGGATTCTGGTGATCCCGTACACCACAATACAAAGTAGCCTGAAGAGACTGTGTGGGTAATAAGGTTGGGAATAAAACAAACATATACTCAGAGATCAAAAAATACGTCTAGGTGGTGGTAGCAAAAGTTATGGGGATGCAAAAGCAGGTGCATTGGGATAGGCTACCGCGAAAATTAGCGACAACTAGTTGAGTAGCTAACAACCCATAAAAATAGTGCTACAAGGCACGGAGATGATGATTTGTCATCGACAATGTTCGTTTGGGTTGAGAATAAAGGGCGGTGAAAAGTACACGACATTCACCGGCGTGCGTGATATGCCTGTTAGAAAAGTGATCTGGAATGTACAACAACGAAGATTCAAACTGTCAAGGGTTCGAACAAGAGCCGAGGTCCCCAGCTCCTCCAGCAAATTCACTCTGTTTACGACGATCGACGCTGACTGAATACGCCGACGCAGTTCCGGACTTCGGAACAGACTCCGAAGCATCGGTCAACAAAGTTTCGTCGTCTATCGCAGAAGCCAAACTAGCAGGAATACCAGCCGAACGTTGTTGATAATAATGCCCATTGAAATTCAGCTGTTCAGCTAGAAAGCGGAGATTCTGATCTGGGTGCTCGTGCAACATCTGAATGAATTTGATCAACATATCCTATGAACGGGGAAGAGAATTACAAGGTTATGTGAAATCGCGACGAGTGCACAGTTAGTTAAATATCTGAGTGGCATCAGGCCTGATAGAACCCATTTACTTTATGCTCCCAAACAAATAATCTGGAGAATACTCGAGAAACAAACAATATAATTCCGGTGTTTATGGAGCGATTTAGTAAGAAATGGTTGATACCTTTTCGGCAGCATGAGTTCTAAGGGTTAACGACCATCTCAAGAGGGATAACTCACGTGAACAAGCTGTGCGAGAAGAAGCAGTCTAGCCCCGACTAACTGCGGCTGCTCCGGTTTCGTGTTCCTTATTCCTCTCCCCCACCAAAAGTTTTGGAGTGGAAATAGCGACGTAATGGTAGATCGCGGTCGGGCAAGCCATCATTACTGGACCACCTGCTCTGAAGACTCCGACTGGCTACCAGATATTCTCTTATACCAAAATTTCGCTGAGGAAAGGCTGTAACTCATTCTATACTGCGAATGCGTCGGTGGTCAGTGACTGAAAGCGTTTAGTAAACTTGAATCGCAACCATAAAGTAAGACCGTTCTCGCAGGTGTCTTGTAAACACGTCTGTTAGGCTCCATTAAGATGGGATTCTGACAGTAAATGACGCGAATTGATCAGCTTTTACGTTCCTTATGATGCGCGCATTTACTTCATCTGAAAGCTGCCAAGATGAATAGACGAAGAGACTAATTCAGGCCCCTGGTTTTCAAATGTCGAAGGAGTACAAGGGGACTGAAGATCGCAGGGCCGAAATTTACACTTTGAGGATGCAACATGTATGCCTGGACAAGAGGCCACTTCCGGCGAGCCCATCAACAGAACGGCGGTCATGGCCGTTTATCCATTTGAAGTGTCGTCCCATTATATTTTAATGAGATCTCTGATCTTCACGGTGTCTTCTGAATTTAAGCCGTCAAGAAAGCCCCAAGTGATTCATCTAGTTATCCCAACCCAGCGAACTTCATTTTAGTGTTTAATGCAACAGAGAAGCCCTCGGATGACTGCCGTACTCGATCAAAAGCGCCAAACGGACTATAAACAAGCTTTCAGGTCTGAATGAGCACGAGGTAGCTCAGTGATTAGGGCGCGAACTTACTGACCGGAAGGTTCGTGGTTCGAACCCACCATCAGCATCTCAACCGCTCCTGTCTAGAGTTAAGCAACTTGACAGTATCTCACTGCTCATGCTTCCTTCAGGTGGTATAGCAGCTAGGCACTGTAAGACTGCTACAACTGAACGATTTGATTGAGATCTCAAAGTGATCTCGAGAGAGTACCAAAATCCGTACGTCTTTTCGCGTTTATCTCAAGTCTACTTCCTTCTAGAAGTCCCCACTGCACACTAGTACGATTGCAGAGTATATCAGATCCCATACTATCATTTCTTATAAATAACCGATGTTAAAGCGCATGGTCTTAAACAGGAGGGAAAACTGGCTTCCCTAGAGATTCACGTATAAATGGTCAAGGCAGTCAGAAATTTTGTACACAGCCGAGGGTGTTGTGGAATCACAACTGCTTCAACTGTTCCCAGAGGAAATTAGTTGGTTAGCTAATCTACGACCTCGATCAACAGCTACGGTTCAAATACTTGATATCCCCACCACGTGGTCTGACATATTCTTAATCCCGTCCTCCTACGTGACAAACTATAAAAATACATGTCCTTTTATCCTTATTTATCTAAATCCGATGCAGCTGTGACCATGCACGTGGTGTCTCCTGACAAAACATATGACAACACTAACGTAGATGGATGTTTCTAGTTGCCACAAGGTGAAAAACGAACTATCTCATTGTCACGGCCAGTCTCTGCATGTCAAGTAAGCTAGCTTAAACTTTATCCTCAATATGATTCACTGCATAAAGATCACTTGTGCCACAACACATCTGAATTAGGTATATGGGCGTCTAGTTAGTGTACCGGTTGTGAATGCCTTATGCATTCACTGGGATGTACGTGCACTCACGCTCTGCCCATCACACTGAGAGCGAGTCAAGCCCAAAGGGAACTTCGGGCTGACACGCTGGTGTGTCAGTGGACTGGTGGTGCAATCAGGTAGGTTGCTCACAGTAGGTCTACCGCAGTGGTATGCAACTAGCCGAAGCACAGTCGGGCTGACGGTATTGTTGGACTTGGGCTGGCACCCTGGTGTGTCAATGGACTGGTGGTGCAATCAGGTAGGTTGCTCACAGTAGGTCTACCGCATTGGTATGCAACTAGCCGAATCACAGTCGGGCTGACGGTATTGGTTGGACTTGTTCTAGCTGATTGTCTTCGATTGCAAGTGAATTAAAAACAGTGTGTACACACCAATGGCCGTCACAGAATACTTCGAATGGGTTGGTCTGGAATCAAAACGAATTGACCTCACCTACAATTGATCCCGGTTGCCGAAGCTTCTCAGATAACGAGGAAATCAGCCGCCATTCGGTTGGCTGAGAGAAGGAAGCTATAGTTGATGACTTTGAATTATTAGACCAGGCAAAATATTCCCCAGACAACCGATAAACTCAGCGACATCCATTCAAATCGAGTCTTAGCTACCAGGTTAACACTCTGGGGGTTGCTTCGGAAGTACCGAGAGACAAGAAGCTTTATTAACAGAAAAGACTCTTTGAATCCAAAACCAGCAGGTGATAGCATGCGTTTCAAAAAAACGCAGATTAATTGGTATGTGGAAACATGCACGTGGATACTAAACGTCACATGTCAACGCGGAAGTATATCAATTATCTCAGAAACAAAGTTTAGGCTACATAAAGAGAGAGTTGTTCAGAAGATGCGTGAAGGAGATTCGGGATGAAGTTAAGAGCTCTGTTGCCGATTTTTAGACCCCTGGAATGTATTGTTCGGAGATAGAACTATTTTACACATAGGTTTGAGTGCGTCTATCCGCACACTTGGGCCTGAATGCGTAGCGAGTTATTCCGTTGGCCCACTGACAGTCTCAGATTAGTAGTCTGAATCGAGATTTCCACAGGAAAGTGTATCATGTTTCTTGGAGGAAAGGATCATTGGAGGGTTCAGCACAATTTTTGTCTTTGGGGAGGTCATACTTGTGCTTTCTGCAGCAGTATACCATTCCGAAGATGTACTAAATGCGGTTTCGGCATGATGAAACATCAGCTCACAGTGTTCGTACGTTGGATTCAGTGGGTAGTACATACTATACCCCAAATGCAGTCAAATAGGACTGCAGTTGGCCGTACTATTATGGCTTATTTTCGGTGCAACCTTGCACCTGTAGGACACATAAGACATTGATGAAACCCGGGAGACTATGGGTTTGAATCACCCTAATGATTCGTAAGATGCGCACTGCTGATCGTTTCCGGAATGGATGAAAGAGCTGTACAAAGCTTCCCGGCATCGATTAGCCTGAATTACAGGACAAAATCTCGATTGATAATAGCGACAAATTTCAAATTTCTCTGAAATGAGTCCCATCGAATCGACATCAAAAATGATACATTGCTTACTCGATAACTGGCAGCCAGTATTCTGATTCGAGCTTGAAAAGGTCCGACGTTGCGTTGAACAAACTGTGCGCGTCTGGCTTTTTCTTGTGCTTCACGAGCCCCATCAGTGCCCCACTTCCCCCGTCTGGTCGCTTCAACCATCTGGAAAATCCAAGGGAAATTCAGATCATTTTAAAATTGCTATATTGTAAGCTGGCACGCAAAAGGGGAAAGTCGAAGAGATCAAATGATGTTCCTATGATTTCCATGCACCAAAAGGAGACTTTTTATAGAGTCATTTATTTCTGAGTTAGGACTTCAACCAGCCCGTACTAAAGTCTAAGCCAAGGGGAAATGAATAGGGAAACTATTGCCCAACTATTCGATTTTAATCATCAGCCCATTCTCGTAGAACCGTTTGGGATCATAATTTATCTCTTTCCAAATGTACTCGTGGTGATTAAAACACTTCCGAGTAGACGTATGTTTCTGATGTTCAAGGGAAGGAAATTTTATTTCGGCTAGGTTGAGTAGTGTTCCCACCTTACACAGACCAGTTGGTATTGACTGTTATGCACACAGTAGTAGACACTTGTTGACGAAATGCCAACAGCTCGCAAAAAAAAACTCCAACAGAATGATGGGTGCTTACTAAACAGAGAAGTTTCGTATGATTTCGTATTGCATTTACTAAAGACACAAGGGCGAAACATTGTTGCTCAACTGAATGACAATATACAATGGGCTGACGGGTAAGTTAAATAGCAAAGAAACGATTGGGAAGATGGCCAAGTTGGATGAGAACGATAGGTCAGGGGTCACTCACTTCATTGGTATACCGTTCCCGTGCGGCCAATTCAGCACTCGCCAAGTTGTTGAGCTCCTGATGTAGCTGCGCGAAACTGAGAATCAGATCGAAAATTGTGCGTAGCTGTCCAATCACCTGACGAGATGCTGCGTCCAGGAGACAACGCATGATGACGCTGGAAAGAAAGGCATGGTGTGCTTCGATTACTTCATCCAAATCGGTTGCTGCCTGGATTCGTTTGTGGAGCCTCTCCCACGCGCATTCGAGCACCTGGAAAGGGATTTAGCATAAGAAATGCAGATAAAAGCTGTCACAGTAAGCACGGTTAGAGTGAAAAGTTTCCATTTGAAATCATGCTACCCCGAAATAGTTTTTTTTTTGCACATTGCCGGATTTCACGTGTTTGGCTATCTCGGATCGCCCTGGGTTCACCAAAAAGAAACATAATAAATAAAACGGGTTTACTAGTGGGTACATGATTGTTCAAACCAATGGGTCACCTTAATTCATGGTACAATAAGTTAACCTGCTTTTTTTTCATCCCGAATCGCCAAAGTTGAACCCCAGAAAGGCTGGCACGCCCCGTCTATCACAGAGTGTAATACGGAATCATCATCTGAGAAACGTCCACCGCCGTGAAAATATCACTGGCAGAGGTTTTTTCGAAATCGGAGTGAACCTTGGATTACGAAGGTTTGCAAGTGTTTCTTCTATGGAGCAGTTATAGAAAAAGATTAGCTTTGGATTGGGGGCAAGATGGCTCAGTGGTTAGAGCTCGAAGTTACTGACCGGAAGGTCCGCGGTTCGAACCCACCTTCTGCCTCTCGGCTTCTTTTGTCTAGGCTTGGGCAACCTGGCAGTATCTCAGCCCTCGTGTTTCCTTCAGATGGCATGGGAGTTAGGCACCGAAAGGGTGCTATGGCTGAGCGATATCGATTATATATATATATATATATATATATATATATAT